TATGAGTACTTGACCCTGCTTTGTAGGCTTACAGCTGACAAACTGGACAACAGGCAGAGGGATGGAGGGGCTCATGGTGGAACGGAACTAGCTAGAAGCCTAAAGACAATAACTATGATGGAAAGAGAAGGATAGGGATTAGGAAGAACATATATCCTTAGGAAGGTGAAGCATTCCCCAGGCAAAACAAAACGAAAAGCTACTAAACCAAACCAACTGAAAAAGAGAAATGGGAGTGAAGAATGGAGGAGGAGCTCCATTTATTGGGAAAATGAAGGCAGTAACTGGAAAAGCAAGAGAGAGAGACCCTGAAGACTGGAGTTGAAGAAAACTGTAGCTAACCCTCTCCACCTTGGAGAGAGGAGCTGATCACCTCCAAAGAGACTTAGGTTCACTCCAACCTTTTGACCTTGGAGAGCCCCACAGGAGCGGTCATTTTAGTTCAGTCTGTCCTCATGAGTTTGGTTAGGAGAGGAGCTAGAGGTAACAGGACCAGGGCCTGCAAGACAGGCCCCTTCTTGCAGCCTGAATTGGACAGAATCTTCAAGCAGGAAATGCATTTTTGACACAGGTGCCATGGCTTAATTGATTACAACTCTACCTGGTAAATGGAGTCTGGGTTCAAATCTCACTTCTGTCACATATTACTAAATGAGCCTGGTTCTTTCTTGTGTCCTGGGGACTCTCCAGTACTTCTGTTGCCCTTGTCCATAGGGTATGCCAATTCATGGTTAGAAATCCCTTGCATGGTACCTCACTGGTCTCCAATGCAATTGTGAGGTTGGAAAACTTGGTTCCTTAAGGGCTTGGGAGAGCTGGCCTTACCCTCTATCCTGTGCTAAATATCCACCTTGCAAGCCTCCAGGGCAACTTATTAGGCCTGGAGAAGGACCACTAACTAGCAAAGGAGGACCATTTCCTTGGATGTTGGTTTTTCAGTTTTACATTGGATTTCCTTTCTTTGAGGTATCTTCTCTTTTTTATCCTTTCAGATTTCTGGACCCGTGAATCCTCAGGGCCCATTTTAGAAGCTCTAGCCCCAGTAAGTCACGGCACATTGGTAGTTGCCCCCCACCCCCAAACACACAATTTCTAAAATTGTTGCCTAACCCAGTCCTTTCACCGATTTAAGGGTGCGGGAAGACCTTGGGACTCAAGGGAACCAGAAATGAAGAGAAACTAGCCTGGAGAGGTTGCAGAAAATAAATGTGGCAGCAGGGGTTTAAAGATTTCCCTCCCTCTCTCCCCATTTGAAGAGGGTGAGGTACCACTGATTGAAGTGGAACTTGAATCTCCTAGCCAGTGATTCTCAAACTTTAGTATACATCAGATATTCTTGAAGGCAAGTGAAGACTGATTGCTGGGCTCCACTCCCAGAGTGTCTGATTCAGTTTGTTTGGGATGGAGCCTGAGAATTTGCATTTCTAAAACAAGTTCCCAGGCGATGTCAATGTTGCTGGTTCAGAGACCACCTTTTGAGACCCAAGGCCTAATATAGCACTCCAGGAATAGAAGGAAATTTTGCCAGCTCAGGATCTCTAAGGGGTATATGCGAATAGATTTCACTTTTCTGTTACTGCCCAGCCTCACTCACCCCCATCCAGTGCATTCATCTGAATAGGAATGGAAAGAACATATCTTCTGGCATCTCTGGTTCTGAGTCAGGGCTCACCTTGCCCTTGATGGAAATAAGGAAACAGTGGTTTGAGTGCAGAAGTGCTGGAAAGAAAAGGACTTTGTCACAAATTATCACCCCTTTAGCTCCCGGAAGGAGCTAAACAAGGGAAAACTTTTTCTTTCCACTTCTACTATCAGAGCTAAGGCTTAAAATGTAAATGACTCTGGGAAAAGCTAATACTTTGAGTTATCTCCTCCAGTGTAAGGGATTCTTTGAAGACATACTTTGATGGAATAGAAAGGGAGGACACTTGGGCCCTGAACAGGGTAGAGGCACCACAGAAAGAAAAGGTGACAGGTTTCTGAAGATGGACTTCGCCATTTTACATTTGCCCAGAGAGAACACAGAGACAGTTTTTTTTATTTAAAGGGGATGGGTGGACACGTGGCAAAGCAAGTTGGGAGAAAGATGGGAGTTTGAGACTGATTCCCTATGGGACAAATCATTCAAATCTATTCACCCATCTGATGGCTGTTGCTTATTTTATTTTTCATCCAAGGGAAGTGGTGTTGGACCGAGGTAGAGAAGACAGTGGTATACCAGAAATGCCCTAAGATGTCCTTTCTGCAGAAGGCCCTTAGACTCCATGATGCCTTTCATTTGGGTATTACGACTGCCCCCACACTTTGGGGGCTTCGCTTACTCTCCTTACATTTACTAAAACAGATCAAAGGCTGGAGGTTAACATTTGGTTATTAAGAGGTGTAATCTGATAGTACAGGGAGTCACCTCCCACAGGTCTTTAAAACAAAGTTTGTGAGGAGCTGGATTTGTTAGCATGTCATCGTTTTAAAAAATATAAGTAGAATGTAAGCAATACTCTTGTAGTCATTAAAGACTAGACTCTGTCTTTATCCCCTATTGCCTCTGATATCTTAGTCCTTAAAATACTTAGCGATCCTTGCCCTGTAATTCTTGACACAAATATATAACGACCATACTGGGTCAGGGTAACTCCCTATGATCCCAGATTAGTGATTCCATGGATAGGCTCTGAACCTGCTAAATGTATATATAAAGCAGAGTGAATTGCTAATGTCTGTTATTCTCAAAAAGTGAGTTTCTGGTTTTTATCAGATTCTCAAAAGGGTCTATGATCTAAAATAGGTTCTGAACCATTGCTTACATAGAGCTGATCTGCATTAATGAATGAGGTGTAGTGGGAGGGTAAAAGAAATGGTATAGCCCAGTTTTACCACTGGAATCCAATACTCTCCTAGTCCCTGGGGTATCTCCTAATACTAATCCTAAAATGTTCCTTTCTCTGAGGACCTTATAAAGGGCTGGCCATTTTGCTCTATTACTAGGAACGTAAGCAAGAACAGTACATTCCAAGCAAAGAAGGAAGGCTGCTCTGAGCACCAGAAGGGAGGCAGGGGCTCGGCTGCTCAACTCATATACACTCTAAGAAGCCAAGTCAACAAAATGGCCCTATTTTCAGCTCCATCTGGGTCCAGAACTCTGAAGAGCTGTGATTCACCCAGTTTTTCCTAAGCAAATGGGACAGTCATTAAACTAGACCGTTGCAGCTTACTTCCTCTTGCCTCTCTAGATAATTCCACCAATTGTGGTTGAGAAATAAGTTAAGGACAAACCAGAGTCTAAGCATTAAAGAGAAACTACCCCACTTTCATCCACTTTGCTCCTTTCTCTCCCTAACCCCAAACTGCTCTTACATACAAGATCATTTTTAAATTATAAGCTTGGTATTAACACATTATCAATAAAGCAAAACAATGACCAACTTATCAACCAACAGATGTTAGAATACTTATGTAAGTCCTGGAGTTAAGAGTCTTAGTGTGGATACCTGTCCAGAATTGGGAAGAAAACCCAATGCATTACCCTGCATCAGCTGAAAAGCTAAACCAAGTTTCCCTCAAGTTCTGTTTCTGGGAGAATGAGATCCCCAAGAAAAACTGTCTCCTTGATGAGGCAATCAAGGTCAAATAAGAATGATGACAACAACCTGCAAGCACTGTGATTCCTGCCCTAATTTCCCAGCACTAAAACAAGACAAAGAAACCCACTAAGCACTAAGCTTCTATATGCAACTTACTTGAAATCAACAAGAAACAGCTCACCTCACTGAGGATGGGTCTTTCTTTCTCCTCCCAGGCCAAAAGAATCTGTGGCCAGGAGAGTCAGACCTAGACATATATATCCACGTTTGTCTTGATCTCACTAATACTGGGGAAGACATTATATCTCAACTCCCACAACTTAACCCATCACTTAACCCTTTCCATGAGGGCTCTCTTAATTGCTCAGCTTACTTCCTATCTTGAAACAAAACAAAAACTCCCATACAATCCCTACTACCCTCATCCCCAGAACACAGCCCCTAGAAAATCTAGCTTGTACAGTTTGCACTTTGCATGCTCTCTGAATTCAAAGACCCTGCACACAGATACACATAGACACATAAAGACACAGATAAGAGAAGAGGGGTCTGTTCAAGGGGATAAAGTTTTTTCTTCCGTGTGGGCCTGGGTTACTTGCGGGTATAAGTCCATCTCTTAGCATTGTATGTAGGGTGATCTCTCAGCTGGATATATGTATGAAGAGGATGAAGAGAGTAGGAATAGGGGGTGAAAAGGTTCTTGTTTCTATTTTTCAGGAGGTAGGGGTAAGAGGTGTGGATGTGTATTTCGATGATCTGGTTAAGGGTGATGGACCCACACAGGAATGAGGTCTGCCCCTCAGCTTTCATTTGGATAAAAAAAAGAGGGACTCTGGGTACCTGATCACTATTTCTTTCCTGTTTCCTCATTACTCTCTAACCCAGTGTTCACCAGTGTGTTTCATGGAGTCACCAGTTCTGTGGGATGTAAGATAGAAAGGATACTGAGGTCAAATAAATTTAGGAAACACTGCATTAAAAGAGGCTTAACAATTCCCTGTACCCAGAAAGTTCTCAGAGCCTTTAATATGCTAATATGGTCTTTCTCTATATATAGAGAGAGGATATAATAGTTACAGTATACAAAGGTGGTACTCAAATATTTAACTGGGATAGCATAGGCTCCAACCACTCGGCTTGGACCTCAGTAATAAACTCCCTTGAGAATGGGCTCAGGCTGAATATCAGCCCATGTAGTAAGCACTGTTTCCTAAAGTTTTGCCCAAAGGACTCATCTTGTGTGGTATCTCACAGAACTGGTGAGAAATGTCTGGCCAATGTTGGAACCTCATCTTTCCAGGCATGGAGCCAGGGCTCATGATTCTGGCCATTGGGGTGCAGGAGAGGGGCAGCTCTGGGAGAGACTCCTGGTAGCACCAGCTGCTGATAGATGTGACACAGCTGCAGCAGAAACAGATCTCAAAAGACAGATGTCCCTCTGTCCCAGCTGCTCCGGGGACTTTGTCCCTGGTGGGTCAGCAGGTGCCTGTCCAGGTGATGTTTACGGCCAAAGCTCTTTTCACAGCGAGGGCACTGGAAGGGCTTCTCCCCAGTATGGGTCAGCCAGTGTCTCACCAGGTGGTGCCGTCGGCCAAAGCTCTTCCCACACTCAGTGCACACATGGCACTTTGGCACTGGTGGGGCCCGCTGCCGTTTCCTAGCCCCAGGGCTCTCTCCAACCTCTTGGCCCTTGCAGGATTTGCCTTCCGCATGCACTCTCTGGTGGCTGGCTAGATGGGAGTTGCATCGGAAATTCTTGCCACACTCAGAGCACCTGCTGGGCTTGTCATGTAGGTGGGTTTTCTGGTGCCGGATCAGGTGATGTCTTCGCCCGAAGCTCTTTTCACACTTGAGGCAGCTGTAGGGCCGCTCCCCAGTGTGTGTTTGCTGGTGCCTGGCAAGGTGGGAGCCCCACACAAACTGTTTCCCACATTGGGGGCATGTGTGCGGTCTTAACAGGGAATCCATCTCTGTGCTACATAGAAGGGTTGAGAAGCTATCTTCCTGAAGAAAAGGTGGACCCAGGAGCATTCCTCTGGAGCTCCTGGGCATGGAATCCCAGCTCTCATCCTGCTCTGGGTTCCAGAGAACAGTATCTTCAGACACACTAGATAACATTCTGGGAGGTTCTGCTTCTAGTTCAGGGGTATCACCCTCGTGCTCACTGCCATCTCCTGTGGAGAAGGGAAAATACCAACCCCAAGAGGGGAGTCACAAGAGAGTACCCCAGGACCCAAGTCATAGGTGAGGTAGTATGATTCCTGTTAGGGCCTAAACCTTACCCCACAAGGGCTGAGAGAACAGGCTCTAATGTTGTATAAGACAGTGCAAGAGGTGCAGAGGTTAAAAGCCTAGACTTAGGAAGCAGATTACCCAATTTTGAATCTCAGCTTTCCCACTTAACTTCTGTAAGCCTTCATTTTCTCTTCTGTAAAATGGGAATAATTATAAGATAAATGTTATAAGATAGATAGTAGAGTACCTGCACATAGTGAGCACTTAGTAAATGGTCTATGCTATTGTTGCTATTTATTTATTATTATGAGCATAGGTGGAGAGAGTTAAGAAATGTGCTGCAATCCTCACTGGCTGAGTGACCACCTGTCAGCAATACAAGAGACATTTTGGAAAGCATTTACAATAACATCAACAATAACAACAACAACAACTAACATTTATTGAGTGCTTATTATGTGCCTGGTACTGTTCTACTATGTTAACATATTTAAATCTCACAGTAATATATGGATGAGGAACCCAAAGAGGGGTGAATTTCTTTGCCAAGGTCCCCCAGGTGTGGTCCTAGATTACAATCCACAAAGTTTGGCTCTAGAGCCTACCTTCTAAACCTTTCTGCTACACTGTCTTGCTGTTGAAGAAAAATATCTCTATACTTTTTGACTCCGTAACTCGCTGAGCAGAGGAGGGATTAGACGGACATGTAATGATGACACTCCAAGAGGGGTGAAGGAAGTGGCTGAAAGTCTATTGTAGGTTCTTACCTGTATATGTGACCCTCAGGATGTCCCTCTCCTCTAAGTCTTGGGGGTCAGGGACCCATTGTTCTTCCCCTCCTTCTAGTTGAGAAAGCATGTCCAGTTTGGGAATTGGAAATCCTGCCCATGGGAAAGGAAAACAGAGATGTCAATGAGTTCAACTGTAATTATCTATTTCTGACAAAAAGCTATTTCCTAGATTACTCCTTGGAACTGAAGATAAAAGAAGGCCAGATATAGGCCTCTCTCCCCAAGCCCCCATGTGATTTCTCTTAAGTCCCTCTTCTTTCTTTTAGAAAATCACATTCTCTTCCCTAGTGTGTCTGTTCTCTTCTACTCAAATTCCACTCGAATTTCAAATACTAGCACAACTGTGTTTAACTTCACTTATTTAGCCCTACTAGAGCTGTCCTACCCCCAGACTCCCATCTTACCCTAGATGGCCGCTGAGTTTCCAAGGACTCAGTTCTATCACTTAAATGTCCTCTCTGCTTTCTAAGAATCTCCCAATACCCAACCAAGGTGAGCCTAAAGTTCTCTTCTCCACAATTCAGCATTATTTTGCTGTTGTTTTTAAAAAATGACACCTCGGGGTGCCTGGGTGGCTTGGTCGGTTAAGCGTCCGACTTCGGCTCAGGTCATGATCTCACGGTCCGTGAGTTCGAGCCCCGCGTCAGGCTCTGTGCTGACAGCTCAGAGCCTGGAGCCTGTTTCAGATTCTGTGTCTCCCTCTCTCTCTGCCCCTCCCCTGTTCATGCTCTGTCTCTCTCTGTCTCAAAAATAAATAAACGTTAAAAAAAATTAAAAAATAAAAATAAAAAATGACACCTCACTTCCATTTTCCTTGAATTAGGCTTCATGCTCTTTCTCTGGTGAAAGCTTACACATACTGCCAGCCAGGGAAAGTACCCTAGACAGACACTCTAGAGCATCAGCTCTAGAGCAGATGGCTCCATCCTCCCAGAGTATAATCTTATAAAAGTGGCTAGGGAAGATTATGCTTACTTAGAGAGACCACTATCCCACAGTTTTCCTGCATGACATATTCTCCATAAAAGTCTGTCTGAGAAGGATCCAGGCTCCGCCACTCCTCCTGAGAGAAGCACAGTGATACATCCTTGATGGTTACCAGGCCCTGAAACAAAATGTAGCATCATCTGTTAGTAATTGTTCGTTAAGGAAAATGTGATCTCAGTATAAAATGCTGAGATAGTAGAGGAGAGAGGAACAGGAGCATCTAGAAAGAGAATTTCCCAGAGATAGGGCATACAGTTTTGGTGAAGGGTAAATGAACAGAGGTGTAAAAGTAATGGTCAGTGAGTGAGTAAGGATAATGTCTCTTGAGGAGTTTCCCACTGGGACCATGGCAAGTTGGAGGCACGCTCCCTCATTGCTCATTGCTCCCTCTGTTTAATTATGGTGTCTGCCCAGTGCTTCCCACTTGCCTTATTTTTTTCATTGCAGAAATTGGGTACTAACATCTCCTTCCTCCACTTGACCTTTCCTTTTCTATCAGCACAAAATCATATAGATGAAACATTCTTTCTCGCCCTCCACCCATCATGCCATATCCCTATCTTTTGAGGTAGCATAGTATGGTGGCTAGAAGCCCAGATTCTTGAGCCAAATGACTCCTGGCTCTGCCACTTATTAGCAGTTTGGTCATACACAAGTGCTTCAATCTTATCCTACCCTATTTTCTCATCTGTACAATGGGCATAATTGAGTTTCTCTCAGGGTTAAATGGGTTAATATATGTAAAGCGTTTAGAGAACCACAGTGTGGTAAGCATTCTGGGAGTGTAGTTCTTCTGTGGTTCTTCCATTGCCTTCTGAATCTAAATCTCTCTGGCTCTGCCCCTCTTTACATCTTTCTGTTTTCTCTTTTTTTCCATAAATGCTCCACTGTCCACCCAGTCCTGCCTATTTTATGTTCTTCCAAACTTCCTTCAGGTCATCTTTTCCTAATCTTTCCAGATTTTTTTTCTTAAAAGACATTAATAAATTGTTCTTAAAACAATACACAACCATCCATTAAAAACAAATTAACCATAGCACAACCATCCATTAAAAACAAATTAACCTCTAGGAATTCACCCTCTTCTTGTCAAGCCTCCACTCACTTTTTCAAGGGTATGATGAGCCCCTTGGAAAGGAAAGAATCTGCTCAGTTATAAGATGGGGATACTATTAGTGATCATGCGAAATAACAAATCAATAGGGTGATGCTGAGGCTACAGAAAGGCAGTCGTGATGAGACCCTGGGAGAGGCTAAGGGAAGCACACGGCCCACCTGTGATCCTGCCGCAAGAAGTGCAGCTGCCATCTCCCAATCTCCGGTGCTCCCCTCCTGGGGAATGGCAGGAACCCAGGGGGCCGACTGAGCTGAAGAGAGGAAAGAGGAACCACTAGAGATGGACCATCCACCCTTTCCCAATAAGAGACTGGGCCCCATGTTAAAGGAGCTTAAGGGTCACACTGTCCTGTATTTTTGCCCACTGATAAAATTCAAATGCATACACCTAGTGGAAGAGACCTTTACTCAAAATATTCTGCAAGTTTATTGCAGGAGGATGGAGTGGGTTTTAGTAGAACTTATATGTCAGCCATCTCTACTGGACTAGCTGTGGTTTGAATTTGTATTATTTGAATGTAATTTTCACCTAGTAAAGTGCATCTCACTGGGTATGTTCTCAACAGTAATCAGAGCTGTTGTCACTTCCTTTGTCTCCCACATACAATACCACTAACCATGCACTTGCAGCATGTGGAGGGAATGATTATGCAAGAAACGGGAGAAACCCAGTTTCATGGTTTACAGAACCCAGGAGCTCCTTATACTCTGTGACCAGGGCGCAGGAAGAATGGACTAGTCCTGGTACTGGTTATGGTGTTCAGTCCATGGCAATTTGGGGATTTTAACTCTGCTTTCAACATAGATTAAGAGACTACTCTTTGTACTGTGCTCTCCCCTCCCCGCTACCCAAACCCACACACACACACACACACACCCTCCAGGCTCTTACCCTTCTCCTGAAGGGACTGTGGCTCCTCTTCAAGGTCACAGCACAGGTGCTCCAGTGGCCCTGGTGCTGTTCTCCATGGCCCCTCTTCTTGACTTCCCCTTTCCACCTGAGGCTCTGTTCCATCCAGCTGGACATTCATTGACTCCCATCCTGTCCCCAGGACTGCTGTTTGTTCTGAAAGCATCTTTGCTGCAAACCCAAATTGTGACCTGAAACAAATTCATTATCAGCTGTGCCCATTAAAAATGTAAAGGGGTAATACTCCTAAGGGAGTTATGGAAAACAGCCCTAGGGATAAAAGATGAAACTGGGTACGAGAAGCTTGATGGAAGATGAATTTTAAAAGCTTGGTGTGTTCCAATCAACCAAGCCTGGGCCAGGCTTCTTGGAGAAATTAAGAAATGAGCAGGTGCTAAATAGCAAAGTCACTAACAGTTATTTTGGGGACCTCATGGTAGATACAGAATATCCCTGATGGCTGTAAGAACTTCATTTGAAAAAAAAAAAAAAGAACAATCCTGGAAATTCAAAAGCTATTCATTTAATTTCAACCACTGAAAATACAATAAAGTAAGCAATCTGGACACATGCAGGAAAGAATATGCACTGACTTCCACTCAACAAAAATGGATATAATCACATGTAAGATTTTCTGCCACAAATCCATTCTCATCAATTGGTTCAGAATGAAATGACTACTATAGGTGGCAGTCCCAGACAAAGGTATGTGTGTGTCAGGAGCACACACCTCCCTTATGAGACTAAACCAAATGACACCTCACTTAAGCTTCAACAAAGGGACACAACCTCTCACTCTGATGCAGAAAATGAGAACTGGTAATAAATGTGGTACAAAGACCAATAACTCAGAAAGCAGGGGTAAAACTCCCAAGCAACCCTGACAGATAGGAGAAATTGTTAGTCAACGAGGAGTCGATGTCTGATGGAGAAAAGTAAAAAAGAAGAGAAAGTGTTTGAACCAAAAGTGGATAAAGGGGAAATAGTTGCTGCTAATATGACCTCACGGTGAATTCAAAGTCCTATGAGTTGAAACATAAGAAAGAACCTGAGACAGGAAAGATCCAGTCAGATCTCATTAGCAAAATATATTCAATTTTAAAGAAGGGTGTGAAGAAGCCAGAGTATGTTCCATCAGAAGAAACAAAAGTGGAGAAAGAGATGGGAAATATGGCCATTGGGAAAAAGTTAAAAGCAACAGATATAGTTTTCTCCTGTCTAGGAGAAAACAGAAGTGGTTTCTATCTCTGTGTACAGGTCTATTCTCTTGATTGCCAAAAGAAGAGATTTGGGTTAGATAACAAAAATTCTTAATAATAATCCTGTGGTGCATAGGACCAGGCTGTGGGCTTTTCTCCTCTCTGGACATCTTAGGGGTCAGGGCAGGTCTCACGTGTTGTTGACAAGGGATTCCCTGCCTCCTCGCAGACAAACAGTCTATGAGATGGCACAGAGAGCCCTTCTACTTGGCAACATCAGTGTGTGTGTGTGTGTGTGTGTGCGTGTGTGTGTGTGTGTGTGTGTGGTGTGATTTTTATTCAGTACCGAAGCCGTCAGAGCCAATGAAAGGCTTCCAAAAACAGGTCAGAACCTTGGTGAACTATCCTGGCTCACTCATACCCATTCAATGACATTTGCAAGAACCCAGAAGCCCAGGATAGGTAATGACAGATGTCAAGTCATTTATTTTCTTGCCTATCTGTCTTTGACAGAAGAGGTAGGTGACAACCCTAAGCCCAATGCACAGGAAGGGAACAAATTATCCTTTCATCTCAGAAGTCCAAAGGAGTCTCAGGGCCTCATGGGAGCATCCTGGACTGATTCCCAGCTTAGGAGGTTTCCTTTTCAGAGACTTCTCATGAGAAAGGAAAATTCCCCATAAAGCAATTAAAGGGAAACTTCCATTTTAGCTTTCTCTTCTGAATCCAGCCCCTGTATTTGCCTCGTTTTTAACATATAAGGTGCCAATTCCCTCCCTTCACTGGAGGTCTTCCTTGTTTCTCAAGCTCCTTTTGAACATCCTCCCTCAGGGCTTTACCTACGGCTACTATCTGAACACCTGTCTCAAACTCCTTTCTCCATCCCCCCAGCAGCACAGTCCCTTGACGGGAAGCCTCCTTCTGCAGAGCTTACTGGGCTAGCTGTGAGCCTCTCCAGACTACTGGAGACTACTTTCCACAGAAAACCTGTGTAAGTGCTGGCAAAAATCTCAGCAGCAAGGGGGTGGCTACTTATCCTCACACTGCATTTCCTACATGTTCACTCTCTCAGAGACAGCACCTGGGCAGTTAAGGTGTCAGCCCTAACCAGGTTTCTCCTGGCTCCAGGATGTTCCCAGGCCTACTGGAGTCTGGGTTCTAGGGCTTGCATTTCTCACTTTTCCTCACATATCCGGAGCTCAAGCCACCTGCAGAAGTTTTTGCAGCCGGCGCTGTTGAATAGGGAAAAGGCGGTGTATCAAAATGAGTGGCCCAAGGGCACGAGGACGTGTCTCTCCCGTTCTGTCAGAGAACCCTGCCCTCCGCCCCGGGTGGGGCATGGGCGGGACGGGCGCCTGCTCCGGAGTAAGGTTGCTTCTTCCCTTCTTCTTGTCACAGTGCCCCTGGAGAGGGTCAGATTTCAGAGAATCCGAGAGGCTGAGCCGGGGCAGGGGAAGTGAGGTCAGAAAACAGGTTTCCCGTGAACTGGGGCAAGAGCAAGTCAAGAGAAAGGAGCCACGGGGTAACCTGTGCCCGAGTGACAGCGGTGGGAACCGCGGGGCCTGACAGCGACGCTGGGGACGGGGAAGCCTGGGCGAAGGCCGGACACAGAATGTCAGTGGGGCCAACCCCCCGGTTAAGGCAGCGACCGGAGGCCGCGTCGATCCTCCTCCCCGCCCCGTGGGTGACTGGGCCCCCACCCGCCTTCCCGGGAAGCCGGGCGTCCCTCCCTCCAGCCGCGACTAACTGCTGCTCGGCCCCACTCACCCCGGTCGGCTTGGCCTGCAGCCCGTGCCTCCCTCCTGGGCGCCGCCGGCCCCTCCCCTCCGCTTCGTCAGACCGCCAGCTACTAATTAGCGACGGTTGGGGGGGCGGCGGTGAGCAGGCGCAGATGGAGGCCGGGCGCGGAAATCCCCGCCCGCTTCCGGGGCTCGGCGGCGGCGGCGAAGGAGGGCAGGGGCGAGGAGTGGACCCCCCGCCCCCATCGCTCAGGCCGATAGAGCCGGGGACCTCCGCGCCACCGCCCGGGACGCCAGTCCGCCTACCACGGTGGCCGCCACGCCGGCTCCCCTGACTGACCATTTTCGGTCCCGGCCCTCGGCCTCCCACGGGAGTTCTTGCACGGGTTCATTAATTACCCCGACATTTAATAACCGATCGTTGTATGCCAGACAATCGCTGTGAGAGCAAATTCTCAGGCAACAATCTGGAATTCGTCAAGGAGCTTGACTTGTAGGTTTCGGGGAGTAGCATGGATAGGGGGCTTGAGAGGGCATTGAGGAGGAGTCACTAATGCTGCTTGAGAGATCGTCAGGTTGACTTCAAGGACAAGGTGCTATCTGAAGTAGGCCTTGCAGCCGCATTGTCCAATTTGCGGGAGCCACTAGCCATATGTGGCTGCTGAACTCTCTGTATGTGGCTAGTCCAAATAGAGATGTGTTGTAACACACACACACACACACACACACACCAGGTTTGGAAGACTGAATTAACAAAATGTCAAATAGCTAATGAGCAGCATTTGGTATATATAGGACTAAATACATTACTTTGTTCTTAAATTTTTTTTTAATGTTTTTATTTTTGAGAGAGAGAGAGACTGTGAGCGGAGGAAGGACTGAGAGAAGGAGACACAATCTGAAGCAGGCTCCAGGCTCCGAATTGTCAGTGCAGAGCCCGATGGGGGCTCAAACTCACAAACCAGAAGACCATGATCTGAGGTGAAGTCGGTGGCTTTACTGACAGAGCCACCCAAGTAACCCTATAGGGTTAAATACATTATTAAAATTAATTTCACCTACTTTTTTTCACTTTTAAATATGGCTACTAAAAATTATTAAATTATATATGTGGCTTGCTTATTTTTCTATTGGACAGAGCTACCTCGAAGCATTAAGATGAATTTGAGAAAGATGAGAAGGAATAAACTATGTTACCATTAGAACCTATTTATAATCTACAAATCACATTATTTCATTATCACAACAATTCTGTACAATTTTATAGACTTAAAAAATAAATGACTCACTTTAAGGTCATAAGTGACAATCATTCCTTTAATATATATTTAGTTTTTGCTATGTGCCAGGCACTAAAACTAACTGCTGGCAGTCAGCGATCCCAAAGGAATTGTCTGTGTTTCAAGAACTCAGTCTTTGGAAACATAGGTCAACAAATATTTGCAGTTAAATGTAATAGATGCTAAAATGGAGGAGTATACTCCACATTAGGAACAAAGAAATAAATATGTATGGGAGGGAAGTCAGAGAATGCCTCACAGAAGTCTTGAGGCACAGAAGAGTAGAGAGGGCTCCATAATGAGGAAGAAGAGAATGTGATAGACCTGCAATTGGGAAAGGGTATAGAGTATACTCTAGAGCCAATCACCGAGTATGTGGGGGGAGTGGTCAAGCCAAGATTTGTATCTTGGAGTTCTGGAACTAAGTCCATGGGTTCTTTTCATTATGTTACCACTGTTGATAAATATAAGGTGTGTTAATCGGGTAGGCTAACAAAACCACTATCTCAGTGATTTAACATAATAAAGACTTATGTTTCATATAAGTCAGGTGTAGTGGGTTGGTTGGGGCCAGTGGGTGGGCTATCTGCTCCTTGAAATCATGGAAGGACATGGCTTGTATCTTGTGGCTCCACCATCACCAGTTGCCTTGTAATTGTCCAATCTATGGGCCTCAGATAAGGGAGAACTGTGGTGGACCTGTTGGAGATATCCGGGGCCAGCCTGGAAGTGAAGTACATCATTTTCACCCCATTCCCTTAGACTGAATTCAGGTGTGTAGTCACATGGTCCCACCTGACTGCAGGGTGGCTGGGAAGTAAAATGCTTGTGCCTAGTAGAAAAGGAAATGGGGTTTAATGGACACTTATATTGCCTCTGCCACACAAAAATGAACATAACCAGGCACCTAGACCTGACTTTACTTAAAAGGGATATTTGGGGAGAGCTAGTAGATAGATAGATAGATAGATGATAGATAGATATAGATAGATAGATAGATAGATAGATAGATAGATAGATAGATAGATAGGAGAGGCAGCCCAGATTCTCCTCTCTTCTTTGGGAAACAAACCAGTGTAAGATTGTATCCTTTAAAAAAAAGGGGGGAGGAGGCAAAATAGGCTCTGGCCCAATGGCATGATAGTGGGCCATTAATAATTAGTAAACATATACTTTATGTCAGAACCTTGTCTTAAACATCACAGGGAAAAATGTAAAACACCTCTATATTATGATTTGATGTGCCATCTCTTTACCTATCAATCAGCAAACTGTGAAGTGTAGATATCATCTCAGCATGGGTTTGGGGTATTAAGTGAGCCAAAAGGCAAAATTAGAAATTGAGCCCTGGGCTTAGACTTCTAACCTGGTACACCAGAGTAGATCTTAGCTTTCACAGTAATATATGGACAAATCTAAATGCCTATATAATGTTACAAGGTGGAATAATTAAATATGCAGTGAGTTTCGGGTAGATAATTCCATCTTTTAAAAACGTTCTGGTGGAAAAGTTTCAAGATCAGTCTTGATGGCAAAATGTAGGAAGAACAGCTTGGATAGAATCAGAAGACACAAATGGACTTGCTGTGGCATGCTGTGGGATGAAGAATACAGATGTGGGGGTGTCTATCTAGAGTAGAGGAGAATTGAAATGAGGAAATTGATAGAAAGATGAGAATGTGGGGTTTTTTATTTGCCATGTCAAATAATAAAGAGTCATTATATTTAGTATTACAAGAAAGCAATATACCTGATGGGTCTAATCATGTCATTCTAAGGAAATGTGGTGGCCTGTGGCTGCCCTATTGATAGAACCTCAGAATGGGATGAAGTGGGCCCATAGCCAGATTCTAGTGTGTGGAATATAGAGTTCCTTAGGACACAGCAGTGTTCTTTCTGAGCCTCAGGGAGAGTTCCCAGGCACTTACGGTTTCAAGTTCTCTATAGACTTTGAAAGACCTTAAAAGACTCAGTCTCTTGCCTATCAGTCTTGGCTTCTTCACTTCTGAAATCCTGTTCTGCTGTGGTTTGAATAAGAAAGTACAATGCAGGTATTTACCAGTTCAAGATTGTGTTATAAGAGTTCTTTTATCAGTCAGTTGATTGTAATGGATTATCAGCTTGGCTTATAAAAACCTGTTCGGCCATTATGAAGCCCTACCTTCTGTTGCTAACTAGAACCTAACCACCACTTATGACACTGCTTTTCTTCCATTCAAAGTTTTGAAGACTAGTGTCAGAGATGAATTTTCTACCAACAGGTCAGTGGGGATGTTTACTTCCTCTATGTCCATGACTATAAACAAGAGAGAAGGGTTGAGGGAAGTTTCAGATTAGGGCTCCTATGTAGAGAAAGGTTAAGGGTCTCCTAACCAGTAATTAATAATTACAACTAACATTTGTAGCACACTTTACATTTTACAAAGTACTTTTTGTATATGTGATCTTCACAACTCAGAGAGATAAGTTATTCCTAGTCTATGGTTAAGGAAATAGTGGTTCAGACATTTAAACTGTAGAACCTCCACTTTCTATCATCTTGGGCAGATTTATGTATATAAAGCTGTTTACTAATCAATAAAATGAATGCCATTATGAATGCCAAAATGAACCCCTACTTGGTGGGGTTGCTGTGAAGGATGAGATGATGTAGATAAACAATTGAATGCATAGTAAGAATGCAATAAATGGTAAGACCTAAGAATTGAAGCTGCATAATGATTGAAAAGAGGACTTTAGTAGGGTGATGGACAGGGAAAACATAAGATGAAAGATCAGTTTTATTCCAGAGTCTTAGTGAAGTAGACAAATTGGTTAGAATGTAATGAGCTGAAGGTGCAGGTGGTAGAGTGGGGAGCTTGAATTGGAGATAGGGAGGGGTTGCAGTCATTGGTAGTAACTAGGTATAGGATATGACTGTGAAAGTGAATGGCCAAAGTGGTGGACAAAGTCATTTCAGGTAAGAGAAAGCCAAGGAGCTGAGAGGCTAGGGTGTCAGCAGGGATAGTATCCAAAGTATTTAACTACCAA